AAAAAAAAAAGAAAAGAAAAGAAAAGAAAAAAGAAAAAGGTAATGATGCAGGAGGACTGTTCCTGTCTACAACTAAACAGCATCAAGAGGCTCCAAAATAGAAAGAGTTCAAACCAAGTCCTGCCTTGGTGGTGAAGTCAAATCCCAGAGGCTGAGTGCCTCTTTCACATTGGTGCACTTACTCTACTGCTGACTGAGGTAATGCTGCGTGTGCTTGGAGCTGGTGACCTCTGAGTGACTGGTGTCACAACATTGCTCCAGCTGCTCTTTGGAGTCCCAGGTCCAGTCTCCTGGTCAATGAGATCTGAGGAGGTACTGCCCCTAAAAGATAAAGCACATTCTGACTTTAACATGGAAACACAGCAGAAAATAAAGATGCAGACAGGGAAAAGCTGATGAGCAAAATGATAACACATGAACCACAGGTTCACAAGAACCATACTGAAACTGCTCAGCAACTGTTATGTTACTTTCCCCCTCCAAGACCTTTGGGGGCTCACTAGGTTTGATCCCATTTGTTTGCCTGCAGGGTCTTTGGATTTGAGCTTCCCTTATCTTTCCCACTTTATTTCCCATTCCAACATTCTCCCAGCCATTCTACGTTCATGGTCATTCTCCCAGTTTTCCAAGTTCACTGTCACCTGCAAGGCTTTTGTTCGCTTTCTCTTGACCTTAAAAGCCCTCTTTTCCATTCTGTCCATACAAATCTCCATCCTTCAAGGCAGATGAATTTCAACCACTCCCATCAGGCTTTTCCTGTTGAGTACAGGCCCTGTCAACATCTACCCCACTTACTACCTTTGAATTATGTTTTTGTCAAACTACTTAGTACTTGACTACAAAATATTTTGTTTGTTCCCCTAATTGATCCACATATGTGGGCCTTGGTGTCTCTTTCAAAAGTGAGCTCATTGGAAACTGAATCATGTATTTACCATGATATCTCAAGCATCTTCATATCGCTCGAGGCAAAGAAATAATTCAGTACATATTTAATCAAAGATTGGAAACTATATTTCATTTTTCTGTTGTCTTAGTGACTGTTCATGGTGCATATTTAATAAATGTGGTATAAAAGTAATGGTATTTGATAACTGGTTTGAATCACTTATGTTTGCTAAAATGATTCAATTTCATTAAAAAATGATAAAAGAAAAGACAACTCCAGCCCTCAAGTTGATCTCAATTTTCTTAGTAAATGTAGCTTCATAAGTAAACATAAAGTTTTGACAAATTAGAATTTAACTTCAGTGTTTGTTCTGATTTTATTCCTTACCTTCACTAAGCACAAAATATACTAGGAAGGAAAATATAAACCCTGATGAGTTTCACATTCTCTATTATTGGTAAAGCACACCAGCACTGGTTAATAGTGCTTAAGGTTTGCAATTGAGCCGGTCAGAGAAGAGATTAATGGGAATAAAGGAAGATTTTGAAAATGTCTGAATCTGCACATATCATCACTAGAAGATAAATCTGGTAGAAGAAAAATCAGGTAGTGACTGCTGGAACTGTCAATCACTACTCATAAGATTTTTCAAGGATGTACACCAGAAAGCCACCAAAGTCAGTCATGCTTTGATTAACATCACTACCACCACTACACCATCAGTAAGTAAGCAAATAGCAGCTGTATTTAGTGAGCATCTTCTAGGTGCTAGCCATTTTCGATTACCCCAAATATCCCAATAAAGAAGATATTAACATTTCTATTTTAATGATGAGGAACCGAGTCTTTAATAGGTCAACTAATTATTGCATTCATGTATGCACGTACATTTTCTGATTAAGTAGATTGGTGTAATTTGGAATTCTAAATTTCAGGGTGATTTTCTGAGCTTCTGCCTTAGGATCTATATTTAACAACAGTTAACCATGTTAGTACTTATCTGAGTGTTTCTGTTCATGTCGGAGGCTCCAATTAGGAGAGGCTTAGAGACCTACACAGTGAAGTTGTACCATGACCACAGATTTTTCTACTCTCTACTCTCAAAACTACATTACAACTCTTTCTATTATTTCAGGTACAATCTCATTTAAAAAAGAGGTTAGAAATGAATCTTGCAGAAAGGAGCCAAGAATTTATAACCAAAAGGATTCTTGTGGCTATTTCTATTTGTGTCCGTATTGAAGGTCCTCCTAGACCCACATGGTTGTGACAAAGTTTTCATCATGGATTACCTTGATGAAACCAAGAATACTACTTATGTAGAAGCCCTGACATGACAGAAGTTGATTAATTGCGGTGATGATACTCAAGAGGCTCTCCTATAACAAGGAAAAAAATCTTGTGATCAGAAGTCAACTACTGGAAATTATTGTTGCTAGCAACATTTTCTCAAACATGATATAAACTTTCTCATTTTCCCCCTGAAATTTACTGTGAGCATTTCAAAAATTATTTTCCTTTCACTTGATTAGACTAAAAAAAAAAGGTAGTTTGATGAGACAGATCATCATAAATATTTGGGTACCAACTCTTTCAGATGTTATACAAAATATGACATAAAATGCACGAGCTTTTGCTGCTTAAATAGGAAGAGGACAAAAACCTTCCTCAAGTCTAACTTAAACTAGAGAAGTTTAAAGGTCAATTTGAAAAGAAAATCTTTTTGGACTCAGATATCACTTTGCTGTGATTTAAATAAGAAGTATTACAAATCAGTGCCAACAAAACTTCAGGCTAAAATGTGGTTAAGGGAAAACTGACAGGAAAGAAATACATTTATCTCATTGTAATAGGGCCCAAAAGTGGGGATACAACACTGTCTGGGGCGCTTGGCTGTTCTGGGTTACTGAAAGACACATTTTCTAGGTTAGAAAAGAGTCACTTTTACTTTTTCTTATAAAATATATTTTAAAAATCCTTCTATTTTATTATCTCTAATTCCATGCTGCTCCCAAATCTTGATAATGGCTTCCCAGATATATCTGTTTCTGAATAGAGGATCAAGGATAGGGGACAGAAACTATAATTTAATGAGTCGTTTTTCTGGTTTACATAATAGTCTAACAGGAGTCACAGCTAGGAAATAAATTTCCCAGAATCCAACCTTTCCAGAGTGCCTGGCATTGCTGAGCCTGTACCTGCGTGGTTAAATTAGTGCAACATTAACTTGAGAAATACTAACACCTACCAAGACCAAGAAGCTAGTGCATAACACAGCACATTAAAAAATGCATGTTATTCTTTCTGAGTTTTATGAGCTTTCCTAACTTTTCAGATATTTCAAATCTGAAATGAGTATGTAAGAAAGGTGAGCAAGGGAGATTATAGTTGCAAAGTGAGATGAGTCTGGTAAATTGGAAATAAATATGAAAGATGACAAAGAAATGAGGGAAAGTTGAATTTCACTCTATCTTCCAGCCTTTGGTGACCCAAAATTACTATGTCTTTGTAAACCATCTTATGTGAGATGAGTGGCTTTTACCGTTGGCTGTACATTAGAAACATCCAGGGAGCTGTTAAAAATCCTCCTGTTCAGACCATTCAGGAGAGTAATCAATTTGAATTCTCTAAGTGTGGTATTTAGGCATCAGCATGTGCTAAAACTCCCCACATGATTTCAATATCTGGAAAACATTCAGCTAAACTACAGCTACAAGCTCATTGATCTAAGATAACTGTCTGGCTGTACTGCCTCATTCCTTTACACCATTATGTTCCTTATTCAACACAGAGCTCAAATGAAGAGAGCTAAGTAGTCCTCATGGCTGAGACTGTGATAAATGGAAATATACTTTCTGTGTTAGTGAGTGAATGTGTTGCACTTGAGGTGAGCAAATTTAGGCTTAACTAAACTGGATCTATGAAATGTTTTTGTATGACCAGTAAACCAGAAATGGTTTTCACAGTTTGAAATGGTTGAAAAAAATTAAAAGTAAAACAATATTTTGTGAAACATGAACAGTGTATGAAATTCAAATTGCAATGCCCATAAATAAAATTTTATTAAGGTGTAGGAATACTCATTCATTTAGGTGTTATCTATACTACTTTCAGGCTGCAAAAGCAGAATTGAGGAGTTGAGACAATGGCCTTATGGCTGCAAATCCAAGACAGTAACTAACTGTACCCTTATAGAAAAAATTCATTGATCTTTCTGTGTGTGCGCATATACACAGGCATGCATACCCACAGATGGTTATGTATCTCCATTTTAAAATAAAATTCTTTGGAGAAGGTGGGATGTGTGTGTGTGTGTGTGTGTGTGTGTGCATGTGAGAGAGAGAGAGAGAGAGAGAGAGAGAGAGAGAGAGAGAGAGAAATTTAGGCATAGGTGAACCACAATAGAAATTCTTAAATGTAGAATGAGGAAAGCAGTGAGATAAAGAAGATGTTAAATTTGTCGGGCATCTTCTCTACCTTCAATTTCCTCATGCTGCTGGCCTTTATAGCTTGCTTATACACATCTTTCCTTTTCAGTGCTGGACAGAGGATAGAGGTCATTGTAATGTTGATGCCCTTAATGAAATTATCTTCAATGAATCAGTGTTAATCATATAAAAGCATTTAATATAATGAAACAACAGATAATTTTGGGTGGCTTTTTAAATATTTACTGTTTCTTTAGTAGATCTGTTTTCTTGAATAAGACTCCCTCTAAAATGGAGGAGAAAATGGCCATAGGGAAAGATATTGGCTGGGTATGGAGAAAGAGTGAAAAATAGGTTGTACTTCAAGTCTGATGAACATCATAATAAAATATTTGTCTGAAGAAAGAAAAGACTAATAAATGTATTTTAGTCTGGTAAAAAATATATTTATCAAATGTTCTATTTGTAAATGTAAACAGAAACCAATTGGAGGAGAGAGGTCAACGGTCATAAAAATCTGGAGCCAACTAGAAGTCAGAAAGTTATTAAGGCATACAGTTGTGTCAGACATTTTGTTCCAGCAACTGGAAAATGACTACAACAAGAGATGTGGAGATGTAGAAGACCCTTGACACTATACTCAAACTACCATTGGATTTTTGACTTGTTTCATTCCTGTGCTCAAATGATTTCAAGCTGAAGCCTCCTCCTTGCTATTTTGTCTGTTTCTCCAGGATTCACTGCCTTAACGTACTCTATCTCTATAAAGTAAACATAACATATTTCTCTATTTCAATATAATATAAACTGTCAAAAATGCTAACAGCATAAAAATTTACAAAACCATGGTGGCTCAAGAAAAGAGAATCTTCCTTTACACATGTAGTTTGTCAGTCCAAAAGTTGTTCCACCCTTGATTTCTGTTCACTTTACCTACAGGTGACTTTCTTACTCATAATTTTAATAAAATGAAGAATTGTAACAGTTTAGATCTCAAATGTCTA